ATTTAACAGCTGTGTAGGAATAACTTTACGCTAATGTGTGTATTTTGTTTGGCCGTATCCCGGCCAGTGTCGGACCTCTATGTGTGTCTCTAAGATATTATGTTTGGTCAGCTACCCCGCACGCTAGCCAGTGATGACGTCAATGTGGGTGGTCAGTGCAGAACAGCTGTTTAGCAGCTGTTGTAAAACCAACGTTGCTGCTAATGTGTATGTTTGTTCTTCGCCGACCGCTAAGCCCAACTACTGTTGTGATGCAGCTAAGGTGTGTGTCTAAGCTGTTATTCGTTGAAAGTTGACCCGTACTATAGGCAGAGTGGCGGCCATCTTCGTGTGTATCTATTGCGTGTGGAACTAATTTTACCAGTTGTTTGTGTGTCCAGCGGATAAATCCGTCTCCTTGCCAGCTGGTGTTAAATGCGTTCGCGAAATGATATTAGCGTTGCTACAATATATATATATTCTCATCGCAGTGTTTTAGTTTCCGACTACATTAGCGCAGTTACAGGTACATTAGCGCAGTTACAGGTGAAGCGCAGCGCGAATTCACGTATAATTGGATCACATTGACGGAAATGAGATTTATTTTACGTGCGCGGAAGACTTTGTGCGATGCCTCTTATATGGAACTGCCGATGCCGTAATTTTAGCAAAATAAATTAGAAATCGCTGGAATAGATGATGGTGACAATCAGATTTGGTAGTGTGTTGCTCACACCCTTGGTGCCTAGCAGATAACACTCGGACACGTTGGATGGCTCTTTAGTAACGAATATCTAAATGAACGCCCGATAACATTGCAGATTCGAATGAAACTAAGTTGTAAAACTTTTATTTATAATTATTACATTATTTATATAATTTATATGCTTAATTCCTTATAAATTAATTGCCATTGCCCAATTATTCTAATGACATGCACACGACACATTGAATTTTGCCTTGCCGTTCCGCACGTTGTCATGCCCGTTGGAACTAACAAGCTAATGTGTATAGGATATTACTGATTAGCTTAATCAGTTGGTTCCGTGTAGTGATCGTACTGCTATCGTAGCTACTGGGCAACCACTACACGCACGTGACCATCACATAGGAAATAATTAAAACGTTATTCTTCCTGAGAGCGAACGAAATTCATGAGCCGTGTCTCGATTCATTATTTTCGAGTTCTGCTCATTACTAGATCAAACCGCGTAATAACCTTTAATAATAATTTCTTCCTTAGTAATTTAAAGAAAATTGTTTTTCTCGTTAAGGACAGCAATTCCGTAGGAACTGTCGTCGATACATAGGTACACGGCAAGTAGCTCTGCGACGCTCCGTCGCATCGTGTTATATCCTCGTACAGTACGAAACGTTTTTATATGCTGCTATCAATATAGTTTCTGGCGTCAAAAGCATAATAAACTGCGCCATTCAACCGCGAATAATTTGAAACCGCACACCTGGGACCGGTTTCACGAAGCGTGATTATGCAATCAGTAATCATACTTAACATCCTGTAATTATGATTAGTTAATCATACTTAAAAATCTGTTTCACGAAGCGATTTAAGTACACACATAATTACAAACATAAGTATAACACAACAATAATAACAATAACACAACAATAATAATAACAGCAATAATATTAATAATACTATTAATAATATAATGTTATTAATTAATTAATAATTAATTATTAATTTTAAATTTAATTTTAATTAATAATTTTAATAATTAATTTTAATTTTAATTAAAAATTAATTATAACAATAATATTAATAACAATAACAATAATAACAATAATAATAACAACAATAATAACAATAACAATAACACACAACAATAACACAAGTAATCACATAATTAGCCGACTTAAACATGAATTACACTGTATTCAAAATGGCGGACAACGCCAAAAGTACCTGCAAATTCGGTACATGAAAAGGAATTAATTTGCAATTATAGTGACTAAATTAGTACAGCTAATCTTAGATAATTTAAATTTCCTTGGGAAAAAATGAAAGTAAAATTTCCAATTGTAAAATCTGCAGCCTACTTAATATACCAGTACTACATACATACTACTACTAGTACTAGCAACTAATCATGATTAATGGATTTAATCATGCTCCTGAGTAGAATTAATTATTGTGATTAACTTAATCATGATTAAAGTTAATTACGCTTCGTGAAACAGTCACTTCAATTTAAGTACGAGAAGTTAATCATGATTAGTGATTTAATCATGATTAAGGACTTAATTATGCTTCGTGAAACCGGTCCCTGTATTTATAAACGATTTTTTACCTGACAAACGAACGCACACAGGTATGTGCACAACAACAACGCTAACGTGTCCGTGCATGCGTACGTCCGCGTGCGTGCGTGCATGCGTGCATGCGGGTATGTGTTTGTGCATGAGCTCACATGGGGAGAGACCTATACTCATCCGCAGTGACAGTGCGTGGTACGAGGTGTGGCGCGCATCATCAAACCACTCACATCAGGAATGGCACATAATTCATTACTACACGTTCCATTTAGGCGCATCCTTAATTATCCGGTTACTTGGGATTAATGAGCTCTCGAATACCTTTGTTTGATTAGGTAATAGAAATTGAGCGCATGCGCTGGAAGTGTATGACACATATATCTATACTGAACGCGGTCCTAATGCATATACCTGCTCTGGTTACTCTATCATTATTGTGATGTTTGGGTGAAAATGCGGTCAATATATTTGCTCTGTATTTGCGCGTGAGGAAGGGATATAGAAAATAGTGTTATGGATTCATTGTAGAGGCACTTGTCACTGAATGTTATTATGGATTTCATATCGATAAAAATCAAGATGTAATAGTTTGCGACCATAATCATTGTGAAATTTTAGACTTCGAAATTGATTCTCGTCTTGTATGTAATGTAATTCACGTAGCATGTTGCCGTAGTAGACGCGTGAATCATAAATGATAATTTGCTCTCACGTATAACCTATTTTCGTTGCAATTTCGTAAGACATCTATTTACGAGTAAATCTATTATCACAGGGATCGCAGTCCTCTGCCCAGTGATCATTGCGATCATGGGTAAAGCTGGATTACATTAGCATCGTGTCCGACCAGTGTTCCCGCGGGTGCCCTCACGAGTGTTTACTTTAGCCCACACCCTCCCACCTGTCAGCACGCCCTCTCGCGTACTGCATGATTGTAACGCTGATGCAGGTGTAAGCGCGTATCGTGTGTGAGTTGTCCGCTACGCATTAAGATGTGACACACACACACACACGCGCCCGCGCGGTCGATATGGATTCCTTACTAGCTCTGAGCTAGTACAAGCTCGGTCTCCTTTCTTCTTCTCTCGATAGCGGAGAAGCCGACTGCTGCGTGAGTCGCAGTAGCTATTGTCACCGCGGTTGTCACGTGCCCCTTCTTCTCTGGTGACACTCACAACTCGGGTGGATCAGCGAGCGGCTCGAGCGTCGACGACGTGAATTATATATTAAATAACGTTATCCGAACCATGCAATATCACGGTATATAATAACGTTGTAATAACGTTTTTGTGTTAGCTGGGTACCGTGTGTTTTCCCTGCAGTGCCCAGGCTTGAGCATCTACCGAGCCGACGTCAGCTAGCATCACCCATCTGCGAATTCATACGCGTTGCCATGTCGACGCGGCAACATCGGAGTAAACGGCGGCTTTCGATTTCAGGCACGATGGCGGCAACGATAACGCGACAACCGTGAGGCAGCGACGATGTGTTTAGCGGCTCTCGCCATCTTTATGCTATCTCTAGCATCGACGCTGACGCAGACGCGACAACAGCAAGACGTTCAGTTTTCGATGACGGAAACGCCAGCCGACCGACTGAACATCGGTGACAAGGTGACAGTCAACCTGACGCTGACCGGCGTCGTGACAACTACGAATCTCCAGCTACGTATTAGAACGCACAGGTAGGCATCCAGGTAGATAGGTGGGAGGCAAGGGTAGTTTAGATTTGTAAGTTAGATTTTGCTCCATCTTCTTCTTCTTCCTCCTCCTCTTCTTCTTCTTCTTTTTATTATTATTATTATTCGCCTTCCTCTTCTTCTTCTTCTTCTTCTTCTTCTTCTTCTTCTTCTCCTTCTTCTTCCTCTTCTTCTTCTTCTTCTTCTTCTTCTTCCTCTTCTTAGATAGACAGATATGACGCCATCAGGTGACACATACATGAGCATATTATATACAATATGCGTACATCTCTTTCTTCCTCATCCTCCTCTTGTACGTATATAGTACATACCACGATATGCCACGATATGTTGATCACAGCGCATTGCGTTTATTTGTAGGTATATAAGCGTGATCGGTGCTAAGGCCACCGTGGATTGCTTCAGCAGCTACATCTGTACGGGCGTTGCGTTCCCCTACACGGCTAACCACATCGCCCAACTGACCATCGACGAAGTCGAAACACAGATACTGTCCGTACAGAAATTCTACACCAAGTGGACAGTGGCCGTACAGCTTATACTACAGGTAAAATGTGTTCGTACGTGTGTGCTTACGTGCGCGTGTGCGTGCATGTGCGTATTTTTGTGCCTGTGGGCGTGTGTGCGTGCATGTGTGTATTTTAGTGTCTGTGGGCGTGTGTGCGTGCATGTGTGTATTTTGGTGCCTGTGGGCGTGCGTGCGAGTGTCGTGCGCGCGTGGCCTCTTAGACTATTGCAAGAGCTCGCAACTACGGTAGGGCAATAGGTCATGCACAGCCTTCATTTAACTATCCCGATGATTACGTTTTAATGTTTTTTTCAGCACACGAGAACTTGCTCTGAATAGGAAAAGCAATTATTGGCCAGTATTCTGAGAAATCTTATAGCTCAGGCTATGATTACATGCACGACATGTAATATAATAGCTGGTGACTGCGGCGCGCTGCTGCTAATGATTTTTTTGCGTTCACAAGTGAATCATTATTTCTGCGATATAAATGTACAACTAAAATCCATATCGTGCCTGTTTTGCTGCATCCATTTACTGCATTTGTACGGATGCCTGTATATCATATTTATATATCATATCATATTTGTCTTTATTAACTCCTGATATATATATATATATATATATATATATATATATATAT